CTAGTTGGCCTTCAAAGCTAATTCAGATCACAGTCCCTCCAACAAGTTGAACACGAAAATCAACTCAAAGCAAATATCAAATGCTAAAGTTTCAATGCACTCATAGTAAATTCAACCTTCAAACCAACTTGATTTAAAGAATAAATATTTACTCACTAAAATTCATACCAACCTGAGCATGGATTACCTCGCTTGGCACCGAGATCGGCAGGGGTGATGGTGGGAGAGGAGTCTCCAGTGTGGGTAAACTCCTGGATTGATAAAACTAGCCCAAAAGGGCGTTCTGCAGACCAAATGATTTCGTCAGATTGAGCAAAACTAGCCCAAACTAGAATAAATATCAAACACCTCGTAGATCTTCTTCTTCCCAGCTTCAATGGCCTCCACGGTCAAATAGTGCATAATTCCTGCAACCGTCTGCTCCTTCGCCTTCAACACTCGAGAAAATTCCAAAAGGGCATTCTGCAGATCAAAGGATTTCGTCAGATTGAGCAAAACTAGCCCAAACTAGAATGAATATCAAACAAAATCATAAATCGGAGGACGCAGAAAAAGAAATCATTCAAAATCGTGCAATTAAGCAGTATGAGACATGAATTGAACGAAAACCCATCAACCTCAAAATAAAAATCATAAAAACAGCAAGGGAGAAAAAAAGTCACTTAAATGTAAAAGTGAAATATAAAAATAAAACACCCTTGAAAATAAAGGGTTTCTCAATTCTAAACCCAGACATCGACAATAATTCACATACACAAAAACAACTAAACTGGTCTGATCCTAAACTCCATCCGCGTTAAATACTATAAAAATTTCGATTTAGACTGCTACAATATATAGTAAAAGATCGGATTTTGAATAAAAAAGTCCCCGAAAACTAGAAAACCCTGATAGAAAAAGAACAAGAACCTGCTTCTTGTTGTGCTCGTCAACAGCGAAGCGAGCGAGCTCCTCGATCTCAGCGCTGTTCTCTCCGGTGCTCCTCTGCTGAATCCCCCCCAAAATGGGCTCTTGACGATGTTCAGGATCTGAAGCCGAATCCATTGGAAATAATAGGGCAAATATCACAATAATAATAAGAGAGAAATGAGACGAACTCATCTTCGATGCTCTCTTTGCTCCCCCCCTTTTATCGAGGTCTCGCATGCCGGTACACCGTGGATTTATTGCTTTAACCGTATCAGATCCTCGGGCGCGCGCGGTGGGATCGGACGACGCGTGTTGAGGGATTTGATTGCTTTTGGTTACCCTGAGTCGGTTGGGACAAAATTGTAGTTTTAGCAGACCTAGTTGACTCTTGGAGACTTCAGAATGAAGCAACGCGTCTACTGCCCGGTGACGATAATAACCAGGGAAGGTTACGGTAAATACATCTTCCACTTGATTGTAATTTTTATCTCCTCGTCTTCTCCATTTTTTTTTTCTATTTCAGATTCAACTTTAAATAACTTTTTTTTTAGAGAAATGTGAGCCCAAAAGATTGGACCCAAATTACTTTGATATGTTGTTGGAGTGTATATATATTTATATTTATATCACAGGGTTTCTATTTTTACGGTCAAAATCATAACAGATAACAAAATACATAAATACATAAATATGCTACGAAAGAAACACATTTTCTGTAGAGTATCAGAAAAAGAGTATATGTTCTTGGTTATCAATTTTAAAGCTAGTTTTCTGTTTTGATTACTTTTCTGCTGGTACTGCTTGTTAACAATTTCGTTGATATTGCATAATATTTATACTAATATAAAATTGACAATAATAGAGCATAAACGGTACTATCCCTTGGGATAAAACTGTAAATTACTTGTTTTCTAATACCTATTTTACTTGTAGCCGGTAGGTGGCATTATTTCTGTGGGCTCGTAGTTGGAGACTTAATATTGCAGTTGCAGACTTCAATGTGAAGCAATCCCTGTCGCTCTTAACAAGCAGATGAAATGATCGAAACAAAGGCCCACCTTAGCCTGGGCTTGGCCCATAAGCAAACTTTAATGACGGGTCATCATGTTTTACCCATAGGCTTAATTTCAGAACCCGCCCCTAAACTTTTGATGGTGCTGCACGACCCCTTGAACCTTTTTGATTCCACTAAATGTGGCTTGATATTTTCTTATTTAACTCCCTAATTAGCACCATAAGGGCAACCTTTTTAAGGACTGATGAGTTATTTTACTCTTTTCTGTCACGTGACAAGTTAAATTTGATGATAGCAATTTCGAAAATCAATAAGAGAGAAATCAAATAGACGGTATATGACATTTAATGTGCATCAAATAAATGTCAATCATTGGATATGTGCACAAATCCGAAAGTCCAATAATCAAATGGTTGACATCTTTTTAATGCACATTCAATACTATATGCACTAGGGACCATTTAATACCTTTTAAATCAGATAACATTTAGTAGCTTCGTTTGGATACCACGGTGTTTTCCTTGTTATGTTTTTCCCTTAAAATATTTTTAAAACACCGTGTTAAGTGTTTTTTATCAACACTAGTTTGACCCATTATAACATTAGTATTAAACATATTATTAATATATTATATAT